GTTAAGCCAAGCCACAGTGGTTCTTTTTTAATTTGGGGTGTACATTTTTTGGGGGTATACATACTATGTTTTTTAATTTGGGGTATACATTTAAGTTGGGCCTCTATTACGGTGTCTCTGAAACGTTTCCATGCAGCTTGCAGGGATTTTACTCTAGTCACTGTACCTTTTAATTTCTGTTTAACTAACCTCCTCATTTTTGTGTAATTCCCCTTTTTGAAATTAAATGCCAGAGGAGCACTATAGGAGTTTCTGTAACCCATGTATGCTTCTACAATGGTTTACCTTATTTATAGCTGAAACTAACCCACTAGACTTGGCTTGTTTATAGCTGTGGAATTATAATTATAGATATTCTGACATGAAAAACGACTCCTCCTCATGCTGATTTTAATCAACGATAGTTATATTTTTGGAGCTATGTGGTGCTGCATCCCTCTCTTGTGAAATGTATATTGACTCATTCTACCTGGGCTGTGGCCAACATAAATTGCAAATTACAACATGTGTTGATCTCAGGGCTAGGAAAGCCAATTATATAAGCTTGATCAGTCACTCAAATCCTATGTGCGTGGCAGGAGTAAAAGAAATCACAAGTACACATTTTTTCCTGGCTCTAGTGTAACTTTGAATTATTTTAGGGCCTGAAATATTTATATGGCAGCCAGCACCACGGAATCTGTATCTTGTAGTTGAAGCAAAAATTTGTCTCATATGTCCTTGCCTCTATGTAATTTCAAATTTTCAGATGAACAGGTTTGTCTTTTCTTTCAACTTGAAATAAGTTTTGGAATTTTTTTTCTTCTTGGGTGTGGTACATTTCCAAAGTTGAATGTAACTACTTTAATGTATGTTAGTTCTTAAATGGTTACTTTTGATTTTTATAGGACTAGAAGATTTACCCAGTGTTTCATGAGCCTGAACTAATTTTTTTTCCCATTTAAATAATTGCTCTGAATAGTGCTGGATTAAGGCCTTAAGATGCTGTCAAGTTTAAGAGGCCCCATAATATTACCAAAAAAATGAAATGTATTTATTTTTTTAATTCATAGGCCCCTCAAAATCTGAGGCCCTAAGATGTAGTTTATTTAGCTTGTGTGTAAATCCAGCATTGGCTCTGGGGTGAGGATGGTGATAAGGAGTTCTGTATGCAGGCTACCCCCTCTCTCAATACAGCAGTTTGTGGCTGCTGCAGCTCCAACAGGCACATCCAGGTTCATCTGCCCTCTGTGCTCCCCAGCCAGAATGAGGAATGCAGCTAATTGCACTTTCCTCTGGCTCCCTGATGAAAGGGAACAGCCAGCAATGTTCCAATATGAATCAGGGGAGGTGGGACACCCTCAGCCCACCCTTTCACCTGCGTAGTGATTCTCTTTTCTGTATGGTTTTATGAGAAGCAATCCCATTCCAGGCACATCCCATTTTTCTGGCACAACCAAGCCCTTAACCTTATTTTAAGTTATAAGAGGAAACTGTATACCGAATGTAGTGGTCCTAGCTCTTACTGTTTAGGAGTTCTTGAACAGACAGATTGACGAACTCTCTCAAATATATAATAGATGACTACATGCATCTGATGAAGTGGGTCTTTGCCCACGAAAGCTTATGCTCCTACACTTCAGTTAGTCTATAAGGTGCCACAGGACTCCTTGCTGCTTTTGCAGATTCAGACTAACACAGCTACCCCTCTGATAGAGGATACATTGTTTATTGTGAAAATTAATGAAACTTAAGTCACCTCCAGAGTTTTTGCATTCTTTCAATTTACAGACAAAAAGTGAAGTGGGTAGTTTCATTAATACTTTCGTAGCCAACACTCATGCATTTTCTTTGCAAGCAATACTCTGCAACTGCTCATCTCAAGCAATCAACTCTTTTCCATAATACTGTAACTAGCTGCTTCAATGCTGCCTAGGTTACACTGACAGAGCAAATACTATTTCCTGTGCAGACAGCTGGGAGCTTAAGGGCATTCTGACTTTCAAATAGAGCACTACTGCTCCA